CGGTTCCAGCTGAATGGTGTGAATCAGTAATCATACCGAGAAGTTTAGAGGCAATATTGATTAAGCGAATTCAACTGTGGTTTTCATATTAGGATCTGTCGCCTTGCTTGTAACTCGGTATGATTACTGATTCACACCATTCAGCTGGAACCGGTGCTCTCTCCCACACTGAACCCAGAAGTTTGTTAACTGCGAGACTAAGGCTGAGCCTCCACCCTTAAAAGCCGATGGGGACAGCTCGACGGGGCCGGAAGCCTTATGCCGTTTGAGATAACTTATTTCCCGGGTAACCTCCATTTCAGATGGAGGGCTAGCATCAACTAACAGTATTTGCACAATCAATGTAGAGGGTGAAAGATCAGAGGTCGATGGGGAGCCAGTCGAACTGAGCCTTGAAGTGTTCAGCTCATCAGTCAAAGGGCGTTGCTGATCGCGAATCTGTGTGCCATCGGATTCCCTAATTACTTCACCCACGCCTACTTTCCTGGGGCCTGTATTCCTAGTTAGGCGGAAAAGATTACGACTATTGCCGATAGCCACAGCCTTCTCCATCTCTCTACATTTCTGTACCCACCACTTCTCGCGGTCATTCCTCAGGCTCTTGATGAGCTGGCGTTTAAGGGATTTGCGCGCTGTGTCATATGTGGAATCCGGTTGTACTTAGACCTTATTTATTTTCATTGCAACCTTCCTACCTCTCTTCAATCCCTCGCGTGTGATGACAAATTTCAATTTTTTTACACACTTCCCAGGTTTTTTCTTCATTCAAATGGGAGAATGGAATTTTTCAATTGTAGAGCAGGATTATGCACTCCTCCCCTTCAAGATCGTGTTTTGTATCAAATTAGGTGATTTATCGCCGACGTGACTCTAACCTCTATTACTTGGCAATTTATTGTGCATTTACCTCCTCTTATTGAGTTTTCGCCGATCGATGACGCAACAGCGTGAAATATACAGTACCTTCCACATTCTGCTTTCCATCTTTTCTCTGTTGCTTGCATATAACCTCTTTTCTAAACACTGAATCCGCCATTTGCGTTTTGATCAAATTTTTGCACTGCCATCGTGTATTGTTCTCCTAAAATGTGTATTTTAGTATCGGTGTTCAGAAGCGATCACTAAAATTGCTCGCTGCGTTTGAAGTACAGAAACAGAGCGATGCAGTTATTAGCAATTTCCATTGAAGGAAGCTGATTTTAGCACTTCATTTGTGATGTAGGGGAAATTCAACAACCCACCTAACAATGAAATATATACTCGGGATCAGCTAAATCCTCTACATAGTCCCAAAGGTTTGGAACATTAGATCTAATCTGTGGACGTTATATAAATTGGTTCGATCCTATCAAAGCTGAGCTATTTTCGTGCAAATTATGATTTCCTCACATTTTCAATAACTTAACTGGCCATCGGGTTCAGACAAGCACATCAAATTTGCAAACACAAGTGTTTGTAGACATTATTAGGAGTGAACTCAAATGGGAGATCATTCATCACATAATTACTCGTGGTTTTTAATTTCACCTCATTATTACGGTTGAGAGCGGAGTATCTATTCAAGTGACCAACTTGATATTTAGAATATCGTGTTTGACTTGGATGGACTGGATAATTTCAAGTTGATGTGCATCATACTGCTATGTTGTTTTGTGAAAATACCTTAACACGCATCGTTTACCAGTACATCCTCCTTCTATTCAGTCTGTTTTTGGTCCAATTTTCGGTGGCTTGCGCATGCCTTGCACTAAGCACTGCAGATCAACGATCCATTGTGGCCACAGCTTGGGCGAAAAGTCCGGATGAGGCCAAAATTGATATGATGCGAGGGCTGCAGTGTTGCGGTTTTCGACGAAGAGATTTACCTCCAAACGATCCTATGGGTCATCCACCGTGTAAACTGGCTCAGGTGAGGAAAATGATCGTGCATTCACGGTTTCACGAGGTCGAATGATCTATTCTCAAAGAAAGATAATTTTTGATTCACTATACGTAATAATAGGCAGCGTGAATATTTCATCCTTTCCTTCGTGCCCCTTTTCATTTTGATAAATCAATCAGAGCAGTGCAATCTTTGCATTTGAAGTCAAATTAACTCATGTATAAACTTTTTTATCCAACGGAGTTCCCTTTTAGCTGCCAGATGGCTTTCCCGGCATTTATAAACTGAAAATAAAAGCCAATGAAGAATGTTATTTGGTGTGTGTGTATGTTTGATTTGGACATACGGTTTTAGAATCTGCCAGTACCTGATATGAGAGAATGGCGAAATATTTGGGTGTGCTTTGATATGTTTGTAATGGCTCCTTCTCAAGGGGATAAAAAAATCTGCACGATAATGGTTAGGTGGCCTAGGTAGTAGGCCCATTGTACGGTTACAGTCACATCTTACTCGTCCATCCAGCCTGCATGAAAGCCTTCCATTAACTGAGACCCGTCCTGAATTTTGACCGTACAATTGTAAAATTGCTGCCTATTAAGTAAACGGAAGCAGACGACGGTTACATACTGAGATGTTAAACAGTGGAATTAGTCATTTGACGACTACGACCACTGCTACCGACTGAAAGGTGTTTATTATAGCCAGAAAAAGTGTGAAGTTCGATAGAAGATCACCGTTGAAAGGTAAGTACAGTGTGATATGATGAAGCAAACGAGTGCCGAATGCGATTCTTTGATAACAAATACGATGACATTGTACGTAATACGCAATTGTTCGGTTATTTTTCCGGAGGGGGCACAAGAATGGCAGTCCAGACATCCGGTCGTACTTTGGTTGACAAAGTTGGGTGCGTAATGTAGAGCCGCGAAACCAAAATTCACATCACAAGTTTAGTGGGTTTCCGCCGAAGAGACCGAATAAAGTAATAGAGAACATAGAAATTCCACGATGCTATTGACCTATTTACACTTCATCTTGTGCACATTGAGTAACGCGTGTAAATGAAACTTATTTGTATATGACTCCAGAGACTACTCTTGCTTTTATCATAACTGACTTCAATAGTATCGAATGCTTGGTTCTTTGGTGGTGGTGGCGCAGTGGGTAAGTCACTGTCGCCGGCGTGCTTTGGACCCTATGGTGCGAGGTTCGAGCTCCGCCACCCGGCAGTTCTGCTGTCGTTCGGTCCAGTACCACACCTAACCTATCTGGGTTCACCACTCCAAGTCCCGGGGCTTAGGTTGCCGGTTTCCACCACCGAACAGCAGTTCCTTGTGACCATGGGGTTCGCCCCGTCTGTTGTTCATCACACGTAGGTGTGAAATAAAAGTGTCAAAGAACCGGCAGTAGTGGCGTTCTTGTAGTCATTTCTTATCAGGCTAGAATGCTTGAAACGGTGTGTTTGCACAGTTCGGTTGTGTACTCTGTGTGTTGACCGTAGATGTTCACCTTCTCCCCCCCCTCAAAATCGGCCCAGTCCCTGTTCACCTTACATATTACCACTAACCTTATATGTATTGAGAGTTTGGCGGCGATCAGTAAAGTTCGCTTCATTGTGTTTCACTGTACGGTGATGATTTGTGTTTCCTGATACGATGACTTGTGAGATTTTTGTTGTACTTATCACAGTTGACTTTGATGTGCAATGTCATGTTATCACTCATCTCTGTATGGCCTTCAGGAAATCTGTTTCATCTATTTCATCCGTATTGAAAATCCTCAATCGAATGCTCTGGTATTCCAACCGAATGTCAGCGACGGATGAGTGCTTTATAATGATGCAGTGTTGAAGTGGAGTAAGTTTCTGACTATCGACTAGGATAAACCTAGCATCGGATTACCAATTCGAATCCCAGTGGGTTCAATGAGTACAGAGAAACAGTATCCGTGAACATTCTTAACAAAATTGGGCAGTCATGCACTTCTCATTGTGAGTTTTAATGTGTTTATGGAAGGGACACCTTGTCATATTCATTGTTCGTANCCATATGTATATAACACCGGCTTGAGAACAAGCATGGTGCCAACGCCACAACAATAATAACAATAACAATAACGCCGGGGGGGGAGGAGGTTGGATACAGGCCATATAATGAAAAATGATTGAATTCACCCTGTAATGTGATTGTCTTAGTCCGTATGAATCTAGATTCGCTCATTGTAGAAGACGCTGATCTTACACTTTTGTTTTCTGGTTCCAGTTCGCTGCTCTTTTATAGATTTTCATACGGTGGGAAAAGCGTTCTAGAGAACTTCTGGCTCCGTTATTTAAAGTTCGGAACAATCATTATGTCCTCTCCTTATGTACGAGGGGAGGGGGTTGGTGGATAGGCTATTGCCTCCTTTACAAAAGGCCCGCGCAGTGATTGCACCTACCACAGGGGTACAAGCCTCATCCCAGTAGCATCAAAGCTATTGGCGTGAAAAGCAAGAGACAGGCTGGGTTTGGCACGGTCGTGGATGCATCAATCAAATGTGCACTCTCCGACGGAGCATCGAAATGCTTTACCAGGACCAATGGTCATTGTGTTCCTAGACGTACGCGCAGCATTCGGCTCCATCGATGGAACCGCACTGTGTCTAAGAAAACAAGATAAAAATATAATGTCTTTGTTCGAAGATCGCTGTGTACGCAGCATTGCACAAATCTGGTGGGGCTACCGGAAGAGAAATTCTGAGGTTAGGTGCAGAGTTTTAGGTAACCACGAGCACTCATTAGAACAAGTGGTCAACCTCCATAGATTGCGTTGGTTGGGGCTTGTGTTAAGCATATAACCAAAAAGGTTGTCCCGAGCTCCACGTTTACCAGGGAAGGTACCGGGTGAAAAAAAACCAATGATGGTCAAGATAAGACTTGGGATGAGGGAACAAGAAATTTCTAAACAGGAGATTCGGTCTAAGGTCTCCTTTAGGCTTCCTGGCTGGCTGTATACAGTGGTGTTCGTGCATCTCCTCAATTTCTTTGAAACCTTAATCCACTGAAATTCTCCGTTTTCTCTTCGATTGTACTTTCAAATTTCCTGTCTTTCTCCTACCGCCTTATCCAAATGGGCAACCGAAAATAGCAACCAAAACTGGCACACGAAAGTGCATGGTTAATAGTTGTACAAACTTTAATGAAACTGCTTGTTTAGAGATAGTGTGTCTAAGACGGGTTTGTCGATCTTCGGGTCCGATTATGGTCTTTGGCCACTCTTTTCCGTCTCGTGCTGAGTGCGGCAAAGCTGCCATATATCACATAATCCTAATTCCTTTGCCATGAGAATGTTCTACGGGATGCATTGTCCGATCTAGCGAACTCAAGAAGTAAATTCCTCCCATAGAACAGAGTTCTTTACTTAAAATATGCTGATGACGTCACCTTTTTGGAGGACAATACACAGGTAGTTCAACCTACTTTAAATCGCTTGACGATAGAGGTATCCAGATATGTGCTTTACATCATCCAAGTGCAAAGTGCTCATACAAGCCTGGCAGGACCTTCTGCCTGCATTCACTCTTTGGGGCGATTAGATAGATGTAATTGAATGTTTTAAGTACCGCGGTAGCTTGATTGCAGCCGGAGGTGGTGGCTCTTTGTATTTCTTCATGCCTCATTTCCATGTCATTTGATAACCCCCACGCGATTTCCTCCATCCCGGAGCGGCTACAGCGAATAGAAGTCAGAGCAGAAGTTAGTGGTGCGATTGCTGTACGTTGTCTGTTGAAATTTTATCCCCCAATAAAGAGATACATAAGCAATATCAAGTTCACGGTGAAAAACAAAATTTTTTTTCCATGTCGCTGTCATGCATATCCGATTCTCCCCCTGCTCTATTATTACCATTATGCAGCTGGCACCATGCTTGTTCACAGGCCAGTAGTATATATGGTGGTGAGCGTTCGGATGTACAAAGGTATAATTTTACACGTTTTTGTTAAAATTCCCGGAACTGTTGACAAAATATTGAAAATCGGTTCTCGTAGCTAAGGTGAACTGAATTCCATTTCGCCTGCTCGCCGAGCTTGGCAATTTGTTTGCAAACAAATTTCCAAGCTCGGCAAACAGGTGAAATGGAATTCCCGGAACTCGGTTTGGAAATATGAAGTCATAATCTGAGATGATCAAGTATTTCGAAAATTTGCTGGCGATTAGATAAATATAATGTATTTCACCGAACTTGTCTCTTATCAGTTATCTATTAGACATCCATGTCTCTTCTATCTGTTTCCTCATAGATTCCATGTTGCGAGGGTGAACCCAATCGGCATGCTCTTTGTTGTCAAGGTCCGACGAATACACATTGGACAAACTCGTCAACCTCGATGTCTCACACGTCTCTGTCCCCCACGGATTTATCTGCTTGTCCATGCACAACCACCTGTTGGTCAGTGGTCGAACAAAAGTTGGAACGTGGAACACGGCTGACCGGCACGGTTAGCCTGTTGTTCAGTGTGGTCGAGGTAAGCGTCGTTTAGGTTTTAGATTTGATCGCGAGCTTTGTGGATCCTATAGAGAAAACAGAAACATTGGTTTGCACGGCAATTCTTCATATTTTTTGATGTAAGGGAAAATAGTTAATTGCCATTTAATTGCTTCCACCTCATTCTACGAACTGCTCAGTTCATTTAAACACAATCAATGGAATTCGGCTCACTGCCGTAGTTTTCCTTGATGTTATGCAGTAGCGGAGTGAATGTGATACAATGTTATGTTATTGCTCTGGGGACATGTTTGTCCAATGCTAACTACAGAGACTGGGTGATTTTTCACTACTCATATGTATACGATGTTATCTCTCCAGTTTGGGAACTCTGGATGCTTTCAGGGCTGCACATGCAAATAACTGAATGAACTATTCTGTGTTTGACCACATCTCAACCCGGTTAGGATCCATGATGTTCCGTAGTTAATTAGCCCGAAAATACCGGAGGGCATGACCGTTAGCCCACAGCAGCGGTGTCCTTTTCAGATTGGGTTGATTGAAAATGTGTGTAGGTAAAGTTACACCATGTGCTGCTGTCTGTACTGACTGTCTTTTCCTTTCCTTCAAATAGACTCATTTCATTTGCGCCTATTTGCCTAGCTTGCAATTTTTTTTAAACGTTTCATCATCAGACGATATGACATCCTCAGTGCTTGTGAAGTGAGCTCACTCATCATTTGCCTTACTGCCCCAAGACCGAAAACTCTAAAGTGAATATTCTGTTTCAGTATTTTTTATTGAGAGTAAAACGCATACACCAATGTATCTTTCCCTTTTACGGATAGACCTAGCTTTAACGAGTCACTTCAGTAACGACCTATATTCGATGCAAGAGACAAGTCAGGTAGACAAGGTTTTATTTAATTGTATCGTTTCTCATCCCGTCGACGCCGTCAACACCATTTGCTGATAATCTTGTTCTGGTTCGACTCCAATTCAGTGCTTGATATTTTATGTACATTCAATTAGACCATGTTATTTCCTTCTTGTGCTCCTCTTTCTAGTGTCTTATTTTCGTCTAATCTTGCTTAGTCACCTTGTTTATAGTTGTGTAATGTGATTACATCCATCATTGTTGAAGTTTTTGTTACGATATCTCACTTGACGTGTCCGAATCCGTCTCGTCAGGGGTCCTAGTGATGTATATATGACTCTTGAGCTTACGACTAGAAGATGAGTTGTTGAGGATTGATGTAATAGAATTTAGATTCTCTATCCCGAATTGTCAGTAGATTGTTTTGCTATTGGTCAAAACGCCCAGGTGTATGACTAATGCACCTGTGTCTACCTGTTGGGGCGGGACTGTATCCACCATGTCATCCATTGTGTCAACGTGTCAACGTTTCACTCATCCAATCAACAGTGGCATTCGGTTGAAAAAAGAATAACGCAAACAACATTCCTTCCTGCTGACGATTGTCACAACGCCACGTTTCCTGAGCCCTTCTCGTCAAATGATTCAACCAAAAGATTCGAACTGATATGTGTTCACTGTTTACTCTGTCTACGTATTTTTGTAGCTCAAGCAACAAACTTCGGTTTATCTCTGTCAAAAAAACCTAATCCGAACGAGTTTCAATCCGTTGAAAAACGACGGCTTCGATGTTTTGATCATGGTAATCATCAATTTCCCATGGTTACACGCTAGCTTCAATCCATGAATAATTTTTTTAGTTAGCTCAGTTTACTTTACGCAGCTAGCATTCAACCCTCTTGGTTTTATGCTGGTGGTCATTGGCATGGTTGTCGTTAAATGAATCAGACCAGGATAAGGGAACCTTGAAGCAACAGCTAAAGATTCGATCGGATCTCACACAAACACAACCGTGTATGGCGTAGAATGCCACCCACCATTTTTTGTTACTGTTTTCAATATGACTACTCGATTAAGTCAGTCCTGTTTCAACCCCCACGTTTATTGAATCCGGCTTCAGGAGATTGCAGATAGATAGGTAGACATGGTAAATAAGTCAAGTCTCTGAAAAGTCACGTTTCATTTCAGATAGTATCGTCCAAATACAGAGTAAACCCGCATAACAAGTATTGATCTGAATTCACCGCGTGTGGCGTCATATTTTACGCTATTTTGTTGTTGAAGGTCAATGGTATGTTGTGGCGAGTCATCCGATTTTAATGTTGCCCTTCACAAAATGCTATCCACGTTTACTTGTCGACCGGACTAACGGATGTGTGATGTTTAGCTTAGAGTATTTGATTTTTTTCTATTACACATCCTCTCCCTAATCCAAAGATTCACTGTACATGGGAGGGTAAAGGGCACATTCAAGCTGGAACCTATTTGTTGATTCTGCGTTTCAAAGTGAGGGTGTTATAACATGGTATGGAGTAGGACAGAATAAGCGACGTAGAATCGCGAACAGTTTTGGGGGCGCACATTTTGAGGTGAATGAAGAGATTCCCGGTGGCTTGTGATAAAAAGGAATTGGCGTATTTTTCTGGTGACATTGAGTGGTCTAAAAATGGTCTGCTTTAAGGTATGTTGAGCGTTGGGTAGATGAAGCGGGTAGGCCAGAGTTTTCAGTTGTTCCTTATTACAGACTTCAAGAAAACATTGTCCATGTGTTGCGTCTTCTGTCCTTCTTAGCATTCGTTCAAGTTATTGATAGTTGGAGTGTATTTTATAACTTTAAAAATCACCTTAAAATTGTGCTTTTCTGTAGTGTAACACAACTAAGTAAAATCTTGGACATTGGATCCATTTCTGTCAGTCAGGTTCCATTGCCCGGTTGCGAATCGTAAAGCATAGAAAATATCGGGACTTATCATGAGCAACCTCATTCCTATATTCTTTAGTCGTTTCCATCATTGAACAACAGGTCCTCTTGACCATAGTGCTTTCCCCGTCTGCTGTCCGTCACACTAAAGTGTGTTGGGAAAAAAAGTAATCCACAATTTGGCGGCTCTTTCTGGTTGAAGGGATTGAAAACAGTGGCTGAATGTGTGGTAGGAAGGTTTAAGAAGAGGGCCGGTAGATAAGGTGAAGTTGGAGGTAGATCGGGAAGCGAAGACCTCTGCTGTAGCTTGGGGTTCATAACCAAGAAAGCCAGAGGGGGAAAAGTTGGAGTAGCAGAAATTACCGGAAACCGCTTCAGCGAGGAATCAGAATGCTTGGTTACCAGCGACTGACAAAATGAGACGCTCTACCTTGTGGGAAATGAAGCGTTCCATAGTTCACTGTATGGTGGACGAGCACTTGGGATGCGTGATTGGGAGAGTGGCGCCATGGTCGGAATGCTGAGGTTTTAAAACGCACAGCACGGTTACAAGCATGATTAACCCCCTCAGGGGATCTTGTTTTGCCGGGTTTGGAGAATGTTTCTATCTAGGGATGCATTCCTTGAGAAACAATCTCAATGAGGTTTTAAACAGGTGTTTCGGCCATTAGGTAGTGAAACGGGGCGAGAAAAATGAATGAAAAAAGAAATGAGGCCATGGGGCGATGAGCCACGAGAAGAGAGGTAAGCTGTATAGGAGAAAGGTGTAGTAATGGTTGTCACTAGTATGATCGAAGATGTTTCTGGGCAAGTCATTTAGTCGACTCGGATTGGTGACCACAACGAAGCCTCATTTTCTAGTCCGAGAAGTGCATCAGCGATTCCTTGTTATGGATATTGCAATCCCCTTCGATGGTAATTTGGTTGTTGAGATCTGACGCCATCGTGGTCCCATCGGTGGTGGATAGAATATGAAGGATAAAAACAGTGTTGCCGTCCGTAGAGCGGTAAGTATACAACCTTAGTGGTTAAACGAAGATAATTTAAGTTTCAATTGCAGAAGTCGAAATTGACGTTTAGAGAAATCGGTGTGTGAAAGTCCGGAAGAAGCGACAGAATGATGAATAAAGGCGCAGGTGCCGGCTTAGTAGAATATGGAATCATGATGGCAATCGGGAGAATGGAAGACGAGTAGTATCCGGTGAGGGGAAGACTTGCTTTTCCATAAATAAAACCATGGGGAAGAAAGTGGGGAAAGTGGTTTACAGAATCAGTCTTTCGATTTGAGCCTAAAATGTTAGTGAGGGCAATGAGAGAGTGGTCTGAATTCTGTGCGAGAGTGCGCACGCGATCATTCATCCGAATTGTACTGTCCACGTATGATGAGAGAAAAAACCGGCGAACCAACCCTGGGACTTGGAGTAATGAACCACACAAGGCCCCACTAATTTGGACGAGACAGTGAGCCAGGTGACATCGAATCTGTCTGTTTGGTTATCCCACCAGAATTGTGCTATGTAGGGTAATGAGTGGGAACGCCGTTGCACGATATTGCCTGGTTAATGNAATGGTCGTAGAAACTGAACTGAACTTTGAGCGTCAGTGGTCTCTGTTTAGTTTCTTCCCGTAACGGACACGTCCCTGTATCGGCTGAGTTGCTTCGACTTAATCGACATTTCACAGTCAGCCGGATGTCTCGGCGGCACCTTGAGTGTTTCAAAATGGTCAAGCCTTTGTTATATTTACCGGAATTTCATCTGTGATACGTCCGGCAGATGAGATGCAGCTGCCGAAGAAACGAAATTGTTGTACTTTCTTAATTACTTCTCCATTTAAGTGATTGTGATTATGTGATATTCCTTGTGTAGCTTCGGAAGTTCACGTCCAGTTTTCTCGTATATAT